GTCCTAGTTCTTTGAGGTATCTCCACAGTGACTTCCACAGTGGTTGCACCAGTCTGTACTCCTACCAGCAATGGAGAAGTGTTCCTTTCTCCCCACAACCCTCCCAGCATTTGTTATTTGTTGATTTCTTGATAGCAGCCATTCTTTCTGGGATCTCATCTTATTAAAAAGCTTCTGCACTGCAAAAGAAACCACCAACAGAGCTAACAGACAACCTACAATATGGGAAAAAATTTTTAGCAGCTATACCTCAGACAAAGGACTACTATCTAAAATATATAAAGAAATGAAAAAAATCAGACCCCCCAAATTCAGAGACCCAATTCAAAAATGGGCATCTGAAATGAACAGATATTTCTCAGACAAGGAAGTAAAAGCAGCAAACAAATATTTGAAAAAATGTTCAACATCACTGGTCATTCGAGAGATGCAGATGAAAACAACACTGAGATTCCACCTCACCCCCCTAATCAGAGATTTAAAAAGATGTCTCGTTGGGTCTGGGGACTTAGCTCAGTGGTTCTGCTGCTTGCCTCACAAGTGCAAGGTTCCGAGTTGGATCCCCAGTACCCCCCGCAAAAGATGTCTGCTTAATAGAGTTTTCAGCTATAAAAGGCATATATTTGTATGAAGGCTACTCATTTTGTGTAGTTTGAATCAAGTGATACTAAAAACACATCTTGTGCTCTTTTCATTGATAACAACTCAATTCATTCCATTCACTCCTTTTTTGTCTCTAATACTTTCTTTTCTTTTTTCCATGTTTCCTGCATTTTAGATGGACTATAGTTTAGATAGTTATATCCCAGTGGGTCTCTCTCTCTCTTTTTCTTCTTCTTTTTGGTTTACAGGATAGAAGATAAATGAAGGGATATGCATTACTTATCCCTTAAAATGTTTTAACCATATGCAAAAAGGTTCAAGTTACAGGTTTAGAAATTTTGGTTCCCTTCCACTAATCACAGTTAAGTCATCAGCCATACTAACCTGTTTGCCATTTCTCAATTGGAAATGCTTCTCTCTTGTCTGCCTTTATTGAGAAACATAAAGCTATTTTTTATATTTTAATGGCATTTGTCTTTTAAGAAAAATATGAAACACTTAATGAATTTTGCATGTTATCTTGGGCAGGGGTCATGTTACTCTTCTTTTTATCACTTCAGTTTTAGTACATATGCCACTGAAGTGAGCACTATCTCAGATATCTAATGAGAATCTACTCTGGCAAGCACTGTTACCAGTGGTGGAGACAAATAAGCAACATGACAAAAATTAGGACTACCATATACCTTGAACCAGGAACACACATGGTGCTATTTCTCCCATAGCCATGATACATAAGTGTGGGACTCAAAAGGCTGGTAGCAGGACTGCTCTCAATTTCTTTTTTTTAGGACTGCTCTCAATTTTAGGTCAGCAAATAACATGCCCACAGAACTTTTGCTTCCCATCCTCAGTTTTAGATTCTGTCAGTCTGGATAGCTTACTTTCTGTCTTATCCTAGGATACTGAAAAAGCATAGACTGAAAAAAGTTTTATTTTTGAGTAGCTTATTTGAGAATGTTACTTCACTGGGAGGAGTGAGAGATAGAGGAATATTAAATAGGGAAGAAGGGAAACCTGATGCTAGGATAGCTCACTAACTTGGCCATACTAGGAGTGACTAAAACATACAGCCATTGACATCGTCTGTATAAGGGTTGACCTATAAGGCATTAACTCCCCTGCACTTTCAGATGTATATATGCATCTCAGCTGGTTTTCCACTGATTGCTACATGGAATCAGAATAACCCAGTGGCAGGACATAAGAATCAAGTAAAGCAGTCCTGAGGGAATGCTGTCAGAATGCATCTGCATAAGGCCAGTTGAAGTTTGTACAGAACTGTTTGCTGCAGCTGTGTCTGGAATGAGAGATGATGGCTGAGAGAATTGAAGTGGAATCCAAGAAGTGGCTTTTAGAACTCCCAAGAAAGGAATGCTTCCACCAAGAAAGGAATGCTTCCACCAAGAATTCTTCAGTGGGTCCATTCTACTGGAAGTTGAGATTGCCAATAAGTAATTTAGGGTTCTTTATGGTACTGAACCAACAAATAAGGTTATTATCCTGCCTGGGGTAATTCAGTTCCTGTTAAAAGAAAAGACCATGTCTGATACACAGTCTTTTTTTTTGAGTGTCACGCTAATAGACATAGCAACCCAAATAAAGGCAGTAACACTGAAGATTTAGATTCCTAAGGAATGAAGATTGAATTTAGCTGAAGTGATGAAAAAGAGAACAGACTAGATACAGAAGAATGAGTTATAAATGTCAACTGTAGTCCCATGCTCAATAAATATATATATATAGAAACTGGCTGGGATGATGGTGGTGGATGCTAATAAGGTTTTCCCAGAGAAGTAAGGAGCTAGTAGTAATTCAGTGGTATGAAAATCTACATTGTCTTTTCTGTTTTGACCTGAGGAAAAATTAAACATGATCAGGGAGTGTCCAACTTTTCTCTTATTCCTGCCTTCTATGTCTCCATATGGTTGAGTCATAAAATTCTGATCCGTATAAGTTACAAGTTTATCTCTCTACTGGGGTATGTTCATAGGGAGTTTGGTTGTAGAGAGTCTGCCACTTTTGTGTTATTTCCAAAATACATGTCTTTCATGGTGGTACTCTATTCAGAAGACCACCAATGGCTTCTTGTCCTCAGGATACAGGCTAAACTTACACTTCTAAGATATTTTAGAGCCTTCACAATGTAGACCCTGATTACTTTCATGGTTTATCCAATCATCCTTCACTTTCTGAAATGTAGGCTGCAGCCACACAGGCAATGAGTAAGCATCCGTGAGCTTTCTTTGTCCCCACTTTTTCTCAAAGTATAATTGGATGTGATCAGTAATCAGTCAGCACAACAGACTCTGAATTTGCCCTAGGGAAGACTTGGATAATTATTTTTTTTCTTTAATGAGATCTTCCAGAATCTGGACTCCCTTGAGATGCCATGTTCCTTAGGCCCAGGGATAAGTAGAATGAGAAATATGAGCAGGGTGGTCCATTCATGGGTGATGACTGCAGAAGCTTCTACTTTCTATGCCTACAGTGAATAAAGGAGAACAGGATCTTGAATGAAGATCCTGGAGTTATCCTGGGTAAGTTGGTAGGAGGGTAAATGAGCTAGTGCCTTAGTGTCCTTCCAACCTCTGGGTCTTGATTTCTCAGGCTTAATGATGTCCTGAAGGATACTTTTTCAGATATAAATTTCCTCTTCTCAGTCTGTCTCTCCAATACATTTCCATGTTGTAGAAATACTTATTAATATTCATCATTTACAATATTTTTATTAATGATAACATTCATTTTTACTATGTAGTGAATTCTCACAAGGTCATATCATTTCAACATAATATCTCTGTGAGGACAGCCATTTAATTCAGAGGTTCTTTGTATATATAATTGAATTACTCAGGGAGCTTTAAAATGCCTCAGACAGGCTCCCTTGAAGAGATTCTAATCACCTTTATTGGAGGATGGCATAGAAATCTATACTTTAAAAAAATGTATGGTCTTACTACTCAAGGTGCAATCCACACACCAGCAGAGTTAACATCACCAAATGTAAAATTTGAACTTTTCAAATGAAGAATTTTGGCTCCATACCAGAGCTACTAAATCAAAATCAGCATTTAACAGAGAACCATATACTTTATATGTAAATTAAGTTTTGGAAGCTCTGCCCTTTGTGATTCCTATGTGCAGTCCTGACTGAGAACTACACAGGTATGAGGCGAGGAAGTTGAGAGGCACCATGTGCAGGAGCACCAAACTTGTGCCTGAGCATGAAACTTGTGTCTGATCAGGGTGCTGTCTATAAGTGATGTCTTCATGGTTTGTAATTCCTACTAGGACCCTAGGTGAGTCCCACTCATTTCCCAGGGAAGCAACATTTTGAGAAATCAGGTGTATAAAATTTCATTGACTTTTTCTAATTGCAGCAAGTAAATGTGATATCCAAATGTAAAATAAACTATTAATAGTTTAATGTGGCTGGATTAAAACAACACCAGCAGGAAGAAAATTCTGGCAACTGGACAGAATTATGTTTCTTTATGGGAGAAACTTCTCTGCCTTCATGGCCATTGGCTTTCTTACCTCTGAGGTACCTAAGTATGGATATCTGTAGACAAACTGGAGTGAGGTCTCAAAGGTAGACATTACATTTATTTTTTTTTCTCTAAATTTCTGAATGTTTTTATCAGATTAATATTTTTCATACCAGAACCAATGAATCATGTGGATATAAACATGACCAAAATGTTAATAAGGTCACACACATACCAGATTTTCTGGTGGTTTAGGATGGAGAGTAGGGTGGTTGTATAATCTAAAGTTATAGCCATGAATTTTGTAACAATGTCAAGAGTTGGGTGTGATGTGGTTCAAAGCAATGAGTCCTGAAAGGATTTAGTAGGAATAGTGATTTTTAACTTAAATGGGATTTTGTTGATTTAAATTACGCTAGATGTATGTCTCAGCCTGGAAGACAGCCAACAAATACTCATGAAACACTAACCACGTCCAGGCAGTATACCATGTACTGGCCCTGCTGTAGTGATGAAGGCAGGCATCACCTTTTTTAAATGGACAGGAAAGTAACCTGTAAGTGATCAAGGGCATTGAGTGCTATGAGATGAGCACATGATGTTGTGGGAACATAGCAACAGGTCTTACAGGGATCCCTAATTTTAGCTGAGCAAGTGACATATAATATACCTGAGGTAGGACTAAGTGAGGTGAAGAAGGAGCAAATGGGAGATGAGGTTAAGCTGGAGTAACAGCAAATGTGAAAAAGACAAGTGAAAAAATGACTTATGAGTCAAACATTGCTGCATTGGGAATGAGTTACTGGTCCAGATGAGACTTGGAGGTACACAAGAGACAGATCATGAGACATCCTTAATTTCCTTTTGTACCCTTAAAGGAATTTTTCCATTACCCTAGGAACAGTAAGCACCCATGAAATTTTAGCAGGTCAATGATCAGATCTTCATCTTACAATGCCACAGTGTTAGTGTGAAGACATTGAAACAAAGCAAGCATGAAAACAGGAGACATGAAATAATAGGCTGTTCTAATAGTCCAGATAATATATAATGTCAGCCTGAGCCAGATTGTGGTAATTCACAAAAAGTTAGAAAGTGAAGTTTAGAAATTACCAGACTTGGTAGATTAGATGTTTATGGAGAGGGAAATGAATAGATAAAAAGAAAACTCTGAGATGTCTGACTTGATCCTGGATTCCTTTCATTGAGATATGAGATACTGGAGGAGTGGATTGGGAGAAGGGCAAGGTGAGTCATGATTTCATTTAGGATCTGTTAAGATGAAAATGGTTTTGATATGTCCATGGAGAGATAATCACTAAGAGGTGGTAATGGAGTACTGAAGGTGATAGAGGTTTACTTATGAGGTACAGATGCCATAGGAATAGGCAAGCTATTTCAGTGCTGTATCTGTGGCATTATAAGGGAACAGTGTTTTGTACAAAGCCTGCAAAACAGTGATATATGATAAATTGTTAGAGAAGAAAAAATTACAACTATTGAGAATGAAATGACCATGAAAATACCAGACATCAGTGTGATCACACAAGCTAACCCACGAGAGTGTCTAGAAAGAGCAGGAAGGGTCAATTCTGTGAAGTAATAAGAAGAAAGTCTGAGAGGTGGCTCAGCTCTAAATATATGGCATCTTTCAGACTGTAGAGATCGTTTCAGGTATGGAAGATGAGACAAATTATTGCATAGTCTCAGACTGGTATCTAGAAATATGTTTATTTTGATTTTAAGGGAGCCTACATTTTTTCTTAAAGATTCTGGAGACAGAGTATGAAAGGAAGGAATCAAACTACCCTCTCAGGATTCCTCCTCCTGGGTCTGTCCATCTACCCAGAGCACCAGCACTTGTTCTATGCCCTGTTCCTCTCCATGTATCTTACCACCATCCTGGGGAACCTCCTCATCATCATCCTCATTCAACTGGACTCTCATCTCCACACACCCATGTATTTTTTTCTCAGCAACCTGTCCTTCTCTGACCTCTGCTTTTCCTCTGTCACAATGCCCAAGTTACTGAAGAACATGCAGAGCCAAGTCCCATCCATTCCTTATGCAGGCTGCCTGGCCCAAATGTACTTCCTCTTGCTGTTTGGAGACCTGGAGAGCTTCCTGCTTGTAGTCATGGCCTATGACCGCTATGTGGCCATCTGCTTCCCCCTGCACTACACCAGCATCATGAGCCCCAAGCTCTGTGTGTGCCTGGTGGTGCTATCCTGGGTGCTGACCACGTTCCATGCCCTGTTGCACACCCTGCTCATGGCCAGATTGTCTTTCTGTGGGGACAATGTGATCCCCCACTTCTTCTGTGACATGTCTGCACTGCTGAAGCTGGCATGCTCTGACACCAGTATAAATGAATTGGTGATATTTATCACGGGAGGCATCATTCTCATCATTCCATTTGTACTCGTTATTGTTTCCTATGCACGAATTGTGTCCTCCATTCTCAAGGTCCCTTCTGCTCGACATATCCGTAAAGCTTTCTCCACTTGTGGTTCTCACCTCTCTGTGGTGTCACTGTTCTATGGGACAGTCATTGGCCTCTACTTATGTCCATCAGCTAAGAATTCTACTATGAAGGAGACAGTCATGGCTCTGATGTACATGGTGGTGACTCCCATGCTGAACCCTTTCATCTACAGCCTGAGGAACAGAGACATGAAGGAAGCCCTGGGAAGAGTCATTTGTAAGAAAATTTGTTTCTGTCCATGATAGTAATATTTGTAACTATTATATAATTTTCCAGTAGATATATTGATTTCTAAATATCATTCTTGACCTTTTTTCTTGCAGGCAAAATATTACATAAATGCCCAATAAGTAAAACATCTCAAGTGAAGATGTGTAGTTGTTGTAGGAAGGAGTTCTCAGGGATATGGTAGGAAGGTTTTCCTATTTCTTAATTCCAAGTAACCCTGAGCAAGCTTAATGTAAATGATTTTAGTTGAATTTCTCACATGAGAGGGGCAATGCGATATTTACAGATGTGTATCCAATTTATTTCGCTTAAGAGTATAGTGTCAAGAAACAAAATGTATGATATCGTGAAATAGGAAGTTATTGTTCAAAAGGGAAAGAGGGAGGGGGAAAAGAAGGAAGGGAAAATACCGAGAAAAGGAAAAAATGGAAACAAAGCTTTTGTAAATAAAGAGGGGAGGGGGCATTTAAGGGAAGGGAGGGAATTGGGAGAAAAGAATCAAGATATACCATGTACAGGTACAAACTCCCTACGATGAATGTAATCATTATGTATATTTAAATTGTACCAATAAAATTAATTAAATTATTTTAGTTGAAATCTGCCTGCAGATGTTAAACCACTAAATTATTATGTTATCTTTAAAAATCACCTTTTATTGATATTCTGTCCTCCCAAATATATTTTCTACTCCTTATTGGAAACTATTTAGTTTTGTTGGTATCCCCCTAAGTGGTGGCATCTAAACTTGATATTTTAGTCTTCCCTTGTATGGCACTGACCTCCATATCACTATGGTTTTGACCTTCTCTGGGTCCTAATTTTTTTTTTGGTACCGGAGATCGAACTCAGGACCTTATGCTTGCAAGGCAGGTGGTTGGCACCATTGAGCTAAATCCCCGGCTCAACATGTCCCAATTTTATTCTCATCTACCCAGTGGACTTCTTCGCTTGATGCTTTATGACATGCACAACATTGAACTCTGTTATTTACCCAGAATTGATAATTGTTTTACATTCCATTTCTTAATCATATTACCTTCCATGTAGTTACTCATGTGTTTGTCTGTGATGTGTAAGTATATATACATACACAGCTTGGTTCGTGAACTGAATTTGTTCTATGATTTTCAAAAGATGGCCAGGTTTGTGTTTGTGTGGGAAAGATGGCCATGGTCATGTTTGTCACTGAATGCAGTTTGGAAACAAAAACAAAATGTTGCCAAATGCTTTTTAAAAAAATTTACTATATATCATGTGGCCCAGTTTAGAAAATCTGCACATCTAATACAGTTTCTCCAAATTGAATGAATAACT